ATTTGACGAGTGATGATGGAGAGGAACTGAGGAGGCCTTCGAGCTGAGATGAACACCTTGAATTACTGTTGCTGTTCCCGTTACATATTCGGATGGTTTTATAGTTCGTGAGGGTTGTAGCCAGTGTGTGTCGGGCTGATCCTGTTGCTTCTTTGCTGGAGTAACGACATCAAGGTAGTATATATATATGCTGTCTCTGAGAAACTTGACTGGGACCACCAACCAATAATGGCAGTCTTGCGTTCGGTGCTTTTCCACTAGCTTGGTACCTCAGCAGTGGTGCTATCCCATGACAATGAGGCAGAGTAATGCTTCGCCCTCGATACAGTGGTGGTTTGTATACGTTCGCGAGCGTCCCCGTCTGCTTTGTATGATACGGGCACATATACGTGATGGATGATGATGAGAGATGGTGGCTATGCAGACGGGCCGACGAAAGGGGGCGTGGGGTGCGGTCAGATGCTTTGAGAACTCGATGGTGGTTGAGGTCTTGTGGTAGAAGAGTTCACTGCCATGACAAGTATTCTTTCATTGTCTGTTTCAAGGAAAGACAGAGTGTCGTCTTTTGTAGTTGATAAATAACTGTTGGATGCTGTGGAGGTCGTGCGTAGAGGGTGCTTTAGGTATAAAATGGTTTGGATGAGGATGGATGGTACTCGCCAGGCCAATGATGTGGCATACATGGAGCGTTAGAAAACCGATGTAATATTCAGTCTATTGGGCCCCAGATGTTACCTCTCGCAGAAGATTCTATCGTCCAGCGCACTCTAGAGTCTTGTTTCCCGACGTCTGGCCAGGATACGCCACCTGATTATGCGGGAATCGATGGCCGTCGATGAGGACTGGAGGACAGACAGATGAGAGGTGCTTGGTGGAGGTCCGCTCATGGTTCACAACTCAGAACATATGGATTTTCCTCTTGTGTTTGCTGGAAGTTGTGAGTAAGACCATTCGAACAGCCAGGCACATTGCGGGTTTAGAAGATGCTGCATGAACCCATTTGTAATATATGCGGATAACTTTTGAGAGGAGACTGACGGATCTTAACTCCCTCGGTTAACAAACTCCAGTCATCGGGTGTTGATACCGAAGTAGACTTTAGCAATTAAAACTGTAAAACCAGAAGAAAACTAGGTACTTTGGTTTTCAATGCGCTGTGGACTCGACAAGATTCTACTTGAGGGCCTCTGAGAAGGCTTCATGGGCAGGGTATGAAGTTGTGCGACGATCACAGTTAGTGCCATTTGTCGTGTATCTCTGGTGGGATACAATGAGAAAGATGACTGAAGGGGTAATGTGCTCGATGACATCGGAGGAATGTTGCGTGTAGCAGTCTAGAAAGGGGCGTGGTCAGCGACGACTTCTAGACTAAGGTACTGAGACACAGATGCCATCCCGCCTTCCATCCATCAAAACAAATCTCAGGGCAAATTGGTGAGAGAGTTCGCACATGGGTAATCACCGTGTATTATATGCGACGTAGACTGAAGGTGACTTGAATGAATGCGGAAGAAGAGCGTTGCCACCTACCATCCTTCTGCTGCACCTACCGTCTCTCGTGATAACATCTCTTACTGCGAGCGGTGGAGTTGAAACTCACCAAATGCAAGGGCCTGACGACCGGTAGAAATAGCCCTGGGAGTTGAACTAGTTGAACCGAGGATTCATACCATTGGTGGTGGCATGTGTCAAGATTAGTTCGAATGACTCATAATCACACTCGGGTCGAGGACGCAGCGGGTGATATACCTCTGTCGAGATCGAATACAAGGCGGATGAGAAACGATATCCAACGGAGCTGACGGGCAGCGCATCGAAAGATGAATGGATGCTACTGAGATGAAAGTGCTTGTTTATCAGCGGGAACTTGTTTCTTAGGGTACGCCGATGAAGTAGCCTGAACAGGCGATTCTGTGGCTGTCCTTTCCGCAGCATGATCGGTGGCGCTGGGAGTCTTATGAAGGCCCGATCCGGGGACTGCACCGAGCGTGGCCGGTTCGGTCCTCTTCATGCATATACCTATGTGTACAGACTGGACATGTCTATGGTCTTAGTCTGCAATATGGAGCTCTTTGATGTGGTTACGAACATGGCGACCTATGGATGACCTGTGAGTCAACGAAACTTTGCTCAAGGTGAATTGAAACGATCGCTGCATTCATGGGATAACGTCGTCGTGACAGGCTTATTCTACGAAGAATGAAGTCAAGATGGCATAGATCGATAGCGTGAAAGCATGTGCAGGGTCCTTCACTGGGTAGCTGCGTAAGATGGCCAGAAGCAAGGCACATGGGCGAGAGGTTTATACCGAATATGCAAAGGTTCAATTTGCGGTTTCGTGGCTCGTATGAGTTACCCTGGGCTGGAGGAGTGGCTTATATAGTTACAGAACTAACTTGGTCATGTGTTCCTCTGTCATGCTTCTTCCAATCAGTACAAATATGGCTGTCAAGCGGTTTCCAAACACCTAGGCAGCACAAGAAGAAATGCGGCGGGCCAGCGGCGGCCAGAATCGTGGGCGTCGCCAAAACTGAGCATTCAAGATAGGGTGTTGACGCTCAGATGGCGGGTTTCAGTCACCTCAATGGCCGACGTTTTGCCGTCTTCTTTTGTGTATTACTTGGAGTGCATACACACACAGAGATGATGCTGGACAAGTTAAAGGGGTTGGCAGGCTATCAGCTTACTCGAATAGAGAATCTCGACTGCTGAATTTCATGATTTGATGTTGGGACTGCCATGGCTAAGGCAACGCGATGCAAGGTTCAGAAGCGTCATCTTTGGCGCTGCTTGAAGAAAGTTCCTGGATTCCTGTGGTTCTACAGGTGTCTTAAATGTGTCCATCCGATGCAGCAACTGTAGAACAACGCCATGTAAATATGAAGCACCCATTTTCTGCGACGCCTTCGTGGTCGCCGCCTGTGATCCGTAAGTGCCCAAGACTACCTTCTTATTACGCAAGGTCGGTCGCATCTGTTCTCTTCCTGACCTTTCTCTACCGCACGCCATCTATCTATTCGGCTGGGAAGGAAGCTCAGTCTCCAATCTCCGTCATGAATAGACCACCGGGCGGAAGAAGCGACATCGTTCTTTTGAAGAAGTCCACCGCCAGACTCACAAGTAGTCTCTGCAGGATTCCGGATCATGGCGTTTCGGTCACTTCTCATAGAGCCTAGAAGCATCTGACATTCTAAAGCATTTCGCAAAGAAATGATCAGGGTGACGGACTATGGTCCAACTGAAATGCAATGTGCCTGTCCTAATCATCGTCCAGGACAATGACCTCGTTTCTGTCAAGAATCTGTCAGCTTCATGATGTAACTGCAATAGTCAGAGACGAACCCCTACACAGTTCCTACTTACTCATTCGAATGGCTTCGTCCCTTTCTCGAGACACTCTGAAGCCCCCAAACCCGCTTTATTTCCTCCTCGACCGTCGAACTGACAGCACAAGCCTCCAAAACCAGGCCCTCATTCGCAAGCCGATCGGCATCCTTGTTCAGCTCTCGCCGAACGTGCCAGAACTGAACCATGACCCCCATCTCGCGGAGTTTGTCGATGTACTGCGTCAGCAAACGCCAAAGAGCTGCATTTTTTACAGCCCCGCCACCCGCCGTTCGAAATCCATTCGTCTTCCATTTCGCAATATAAGGCGGTTCACCTTTTTTCCCGCCTGCAATGGACTTGACGACGTACTCTGAGTCTGACTTGACGACGATGTGTCTCAATTTCTGGGGCTCTCCGCTGGGTTTTCTCACGTCTCCGTGCTTCACGGCATCGGTGTACCGTTGAATGCCACCCTTGGCGACAATCGTCGCGCCATGCAGCGCAGAGATAGCGGACATGATTTCAGCGATGTTGTTTGTGTGTTTGGCGCCTTCGAGAAGATGGTTCGGAATCCGAGCAGCCATGTTGCTGGGATTCCCGGGTGCGAAGAAGACTCCATAGCCCGATTTGGTTGCCCTGTTCGTGCCGTTCCCAGGGCAGGCGCCGTCGATGGCAATGACAAGGGGATCCTCGTGCCCAGAATGTTGCGACGAGGGGCTGCACATGTGAGTGAACCCCGTCTGGCCGTCGAAAAGCTCCAATTTTCCGTCGTTGTTGTGGAAGAAGGCTCCTCTCGAGGACCCCGGGGAACGACTGAGACTCAGGCCAGACGCCTTGTCCCGTTGGTCGGATTGGGGCTGGTTCCCATGTTTTGGCGCGGCTGTTACACCTCGACTTGGTTTTTTGCGTCTGGAATCCGATGCTTGCGGCCGCTTGTACGGATGGTACATGATTTCAGATCGTGAGATTGGCTGTGAACGATGATGATGATGACTTTCGCAGATTTGGGGCGTGAAGTAGGTACACGCGCGGGTACTGTGGCTAGCGGTGGTGTCTCCTGAAAGATGGCGGACGTGCGCACCCTCCCCACGTTGCTTTGTTCTTACCCAGAGCAGGAACGTTCCATACCAAGCGCCGACAAATTTATCGAAAATCCATCCAATTGCAAATTTGGCATCACAAGGTGAATCATAAACCAGGACCACCGTCTCGTTCGCCAATGTCGTCCATCTTAGAATCCCAGACGCCGTGCGACGCGTTGAGCCAGCCCCTTTCCGGTCGTCTGATATATCCTCACGCGAAACCAGGAAGACGCGACTAACAAGCTTCGAGCCTATTTGTCGCGTCATTGTTGGCAAACGATCCGACTTCCAGCCGTCAACGCCAACCAGACGTCTCCGTCCTCAAATTGCTGCCTCTGGAGCGTCGCGGATCCGCAGTCGAATCTATGGCGAATCTAAGCAGCCCGACCTTTGTTTCCCCCTTCCCTGTCGCTAGCTACGTCTGACCCCTTCTGAGCATCAAGATGCTTCACGACACAACTGGGTTTGCTTGAAATGAAGCCAAAAGAAATCTCATTTAAACATCCAGCTGCATTTGCTAAACTTCAGAACTCCATAGCTTTCCGTTCACTTGAAAGGAAATGCTCCTAGCTTTAGTACGTGAACACTGGTTCACATCTTCGACTCCAATAGTACGCAACTCTCCGGCACTGCCCTCGGATCCATATCAAGTGGATGATCACAACCCGCATGGCGCTGAAGCTCGTCCGTCAACCATTCGGTATGTTTCTCGTCAGGGCTCAGGTCTATCGCAGATAGCACGCCGCCAGCAACACAATAAGCCTCGTTATTGTCGCTATTCGGAACAAGCCACCAATCTACCCTGAATCCCAATACGCCGAGACCTTTCAACTCTCGCCACAAAGCCTTCCAGAGATCCCTATTCTTGACCGGTTCTTCATTAATCGTCAACCATCCGTTCTCGCGCCATCTCCATATCCAAGGTTCTCGGTCCCTTTCTCCGCCTCCCATACCTCTGGCGACGTATTCGGACTTCGTCTTCACTACGAGGTGTCTAACAACACACTCATGTCCATCTTCGTGCTTCGGGCAGCTGCAGAACCCTCCCTCGGCGCAAATTCGCCTCGAGATCTTGAGTCCTGCCAGCGCAGCGTGAAGCTCCGCGCGCGGACCGGTAAAAGTGCCGTCGGATAGGAAGTGCTCAGCGTTGTTTGGATTCTCCGGACCAAAGTATACGCCGATGGTTGAAGTTGCGCGGGGCGTGGATACCTTTGACTGCGACAACGAGGGAGTCGATATGAACTACATCTACATGGTTTTGGCAGGCTACGTGGATGAAGCTGGTGTCATTGTCGGTCACCTCGAGTTTGGTGACACAGTTGGCGAGATAGTCACCAAAGACGGTTGGAAACCTGAAGGTGGATTCATAGGTCTCTACCGCCTGTGACAATGCTGCACAGCAATGACAGGAAGGCTGCTCTACTTTCATCGCTGTCACTTGTTGTCGTTGCGAAGTAACATACTTCGTAAATTAGAATAGATAGATGTGTGTTAACATACACAGGACTTAGTCTAGCTTTACTCACCTGTATTTCTATCTTTTACTACTTTACTTAGGCGTGAACTTGGAAATGAGAATATGCGCGCGAGAGGCGGAAGACATGGCGAGGTAGAAGAGTCGTAAGTATATGTCTCGGATGAGGAGCATATATATAGTACAAAGGACTTCATACTGAAAGCTTCCACGGCCCAAGCTGTGATCTGATCTTTTGCTACTGCCATAGCAACCTCTAAAGTCAAACCCTATGTAGTGAAATCTTCCAACTTCCCTGCATTGTATAAGCTCACTGAAGCAGATCTCATGTGCAACATGTGAAAATGAACAAAATCTTTGCGAAGGACGAATTCAAATCAACTATTCTGAGTTGATCTGGAGGCGAGATATGTAGAATGAAGGATTATTTGTGCCATCGTGACGACTCCGTCTCATGAGGCAGTCCACTTACACGCTGCCAGCTGCTCACCCTGCAAAAACTGTAATGAGGATACTTTCAGTTGAAAGTAAACAAAACAAAAGTACGTTAAAGGTGCTAGAAGCTTCTCTCACATAAGGAAGACCGGACATTGGTCCTTACAAATCGTAGATGGAAACAGGTTGCAGTGACGTTGCGTGGTTGAGAGGCAGGACTAGGGTCCCCCAAAACCCCCGGCAGTTGTCTTCGTAGGCGCCAGCTTTGGCGGAGCGCTTGCATGCTACAGCTCAGAAGCCACCCTAAATTCCGCCAACGACCGCTAGCAAAACAGCAAGCAACCTTATCTCATACCTCCACGAACTCCTCACAAACACTGCGAGGATGAGAACATCAACATCGCCAACGTCGCATCGTCTTGATGGCCTGCATGAGATCCATGCAGCAAGCCCCAGTTATCTCCAGGGAAATCGATCACTTCAAAGATAGGAAATCGCTCATCAGGGAATCCGATCGATCGCGGAGTTTTGGTTGGAGGAAGACCCTCCGTGTGATGCATCGTCGCATTGAAGAAAAAGCAATTATCAACTTGCGTACGCCGCCGTTGCCGACAATGGACGAGAAGAGACCGGCAGCATCAGGTCCGGGGGACTCATCAACGATTCTCGCGTCATCGCGTAGATGAGACGTATATAATCTAGAAGCTTCTCATACCCCGCGTCGATGAGATGAAGTGAGAGCTCATCCTGCGAGAAAGACGTGCCCTCACACCCCAGGAAACCCTCCCAAACGGTCTTGAACATGAATACAGGACTACGAGAATGCACAAGCTTTCCTGCCCCGCGCACGAGGATCGAGTTTGCCCGTTCCTTCCAGGCGGCCTACCGGGCTGAATTTGGCGATTCTGACTGCTCGCTTCGAGGCGACTCGGACTCGGACTCCGGAGAGTCCTGCCCGTCGATCCACACGTCTGATTTCTCCACCGAGTCCGACGATGATGCCCTCACGACCGACTACGAGGATGACTACCTCATGCGCACCGGCATCAAACCGCGGTCGACCTCACGTCCCAGACCACCGCCCCACGCCCGGGTCAAGAAACCCGCCAAGGAGGTGCGTCTGGCGGTCCAAGGCATGAAGGATGCCGCCCTCATCTTCGAAGATCCCAAACTGCGGCACCAGCCCGCCTTCTCCTCGTGGGAAGATGAGTTGGGACCGGAGAGAGTAAAAAGACGGGAGCGTAAAATGCTGTTGCGCCGACTACGCCAGGCCGAAAGCTCTCGCCGTAGGGAGCATTCGCCCTCGCCTTCGCCATCGCCCTCGACTTCAAGTGACACCGAAATGGACGACTCAGAAGTGGACGACTCGGACATGGACGACTCTGATTTTGATGATATCAACCAGCTCTTCACCGAGGCGCTGCGGCAACACGACATCGCCACCGGCATGGACCCGGCAAGCCTTCGCCGCCGCCAACAACGTCGCATGCTCGCAGAAGAGGCAGAACCGCAGCCAGCATCGCAGCTGCGCGAGCAACGACGTAGAGCCCTGGCAGACAAGGAGCGTCTGGAAGAAGAGGAGGACCGACGTCGTCTGCTCGAAAAAGAACGCTTCAGATCGATACCGCACAACGACCCAGAGAGCAGACGGAGATTGCTCCGCAAACCTGGGGAAACGGAGTTTCTCGAGATGCGGCGCAGATGGTATGAAGGCGAATGCCGTCACAACGAAAGGGAGGCACGACGCCGTCTGGTTGAAGCGGAACGAATGGCCCAGCTGCCCTACAGCGACCCCAGGACCAAAGAGAGAATGCTCCGCCGAGTCCGCGAAGCCATAGACGATGTGGAATGGTACAGGGTTGACGAGGAACCAAGCAACCCTCCGACTCAGCCGAGCACGCAAACTGCTCAACTCGCAAACGCAGCCAACCACCAGACTGACCAGAGCAACAACAACCAAACAACAGACAACGTCCGCCGCCCTCCTCCGCAGAACCCCCTCCCTTCCCACTTCACACTCGGTAGGATCCCAAGGCCCGGTTCCCAGGCATCCAAACCGACATCCGCAAGCACGCAGCGTTGCACGAACCCTGAATCACCGGCCCCAACAACTTCACACACATCAGACACTTCCCCAACCTCAGAAGGCCCATCACCTCGACCCTCGTCGTCTCAACCGCAGTCCACGTCCCCAAAAACGGACCCCTCACGGTGGCAGTCTACTTCGGCCCCTTCAACCCGCACAACCTCCGCCTCACATTCCCGCCGCCCCAGTCCCCACGGGACTCCCAAAACGCCTACCGCGCCTCCCTCTTCGCCCTCATCACCGCCCTCCGCGCCGCCGCCCCCTTCTGCCAACCCCCCTCCTCCTCTTCTTCCTCACTCCCCCGCCCGGCCGAGCAGACAACCCACTTGATCCTGCAAACACACTCCTCCGCCTTCGTCCGCCACCTCTTCGGCGACGACGAGTTCGACTCCCCGCTGGTCGACGGCTGGACCTTCAACGGCTGGCGCACCTGGTCCGGCAGCCCCGTCTACCACCGCGACCTCTGGATGACCCTCCTCAGCGACATGGACTACTTCAAAGAGGTCACCGGCCTGCCGTACGTCGTCATCCGCCACCCCTCCGAGTGCCAGTTCTGGGACGCCCAGTCGGACATGGCCTTGCAAATGGCCAGGAGGCAGCCGCCCGGGGGAACAACGAGGCCGTGGAAGGGCGCCATCTGCGCCGCCGACGCCGTCGGGGAGGTGGAGGACGCGGAGGAGTTCCCTTACTATTACAAGTCTGGCTGGGTCGAGTTCTAAGTGGTTGAGAAGGGCGGCTGTTTCTGTTTTGCACGTGTCGAGTCTTTGGAGTGGAGCTGGTTTGACTTAATCTTCCGTATGACATGGAACTCTCCCGCAGAGTAACCGCAACCAGTCCTTACCACGTAGAAAGCATGTCTCACCTCGTGCCCTCGCAACTTCCGCCGTGCTTCCTGTGTATCAGATAGAGTGTTATCCATCTCAGTCTGATCACCTGAATGAATGAAACACATACCTATACAGTCTATCTCCCAACGCCTCGGAGAACTCCCTTGCTCCCTTGCTCCCTTCTGTGCCGGCCTCTTCGCCCTAAAACCACCTCGCGAACCCGTACTAGGGGCCAGCAGGCTCACAAGGAACCTGCTGCGCATCTGAAGCACGCTGCCGCGTCGGGCACTTGTCCGGCTGAAGAGATGGAAGCTGGATGTGGGTTAGCCTAGGTTCATATTCATAAAGAAGCACCAACCAAGACTTACTAAGATACTCTGTACATCCTCCCATACCGAAGCAGCTTCACAGTCAGACGAAGGCACCAGACGTTATTAATCATGATTTGATTTTTTCAAAAAAGGAATAAACACATAGCATAAGTCTAATCTAAAGGTTATCCGTGAACGTGTTTGTTGCCGCCGTCAAGATATTTCGCGCGCGCGCCCTCCATAGCCTTGCCGCCTCCTCCTTTGCCCCCAAGTGGTTGGGGTACATGTATGTTTGATGTAGATAAGCGGAACGAACAAAACACCATACACGAGGACGGCCATCCCGTCTCTCGTCCTCCTCTCCCCGATGTCGTATCTCTCCCTTTTTTTGCTCCTCCCCGTGGCGGGGGTAAAAAAGAATATGCTTCGCAGTCCGTGGGCCATTAACGAACGCTTTTTCTGTGTGTATATAACAAAGAAGGTTATAACATCATTATACAATCCAAAAAAACAAACAGGCTCCGTGAAAATGTGTATAGGTAAGTGAGAGAACCGGCCCTGAACCCAACATGACAAATTGGGGCGGCGACGCCCCGGGGTATTTGTGACTTTTTCGCAAAATCAATCGCATCATGCTCCCGTTTAAGGCTTCGAGACCTGCTCCTTTCTGAAGAACTTGAAGAAGAGGATTGGGATGACCATTTGGAATCCCAAGCAGATCCAGAACCACCAACTCGCAATACCAGGCATGAGGCCCTGGGAGAAGTCGGGGAAGGTCGTGTTGGGCGACAGGGCGTTGGGACTCGTCGCGCGCGCCAGCATCGTGAAGGCACTGCCCACGATTTGAGCACCGATGAGGACAGCCAACACGTGCTGGCGGGTAAGTGTCGCGAGAAGCATCATACCTAGGCCGACACCCTGGATGTTGTCCAAGAGACCGAGCCAGAGCCACAGGCAACGCGAGAGAATGGCGGAGCCGACAGGGCCACCAGCCCAGGGGAGGTACATGCCCATGCTGCTGGTTCCCCAAAGCATCTGCGCCCAGCGAGGAGCGCAGAGACCGATGGCGAAAATAGGCAGAAGCCACGTGTGACTCTCGGAGAAGTAAGAGAAGACGTAGAGGATGATGCCCCAAAGGACGACGAAAAAGCCCAAGGCAAGGAGCACAACTCCCCAGCCAGGGATGAACTGAGAGGCAAAGAGGAAACCCCAGTTACGTCCGTAGGGAGCCGACAGCCAGTAGTTCTGGATAATGATCATGATGAAGAAGACCGGGACGAGCTTGCGGCGGATGAGGGAGATGTAGAAACCGGGGATGACGTCGGGAGCCTGGCGGTAGTAGTCGGGAAGACCCAAGAACAGAATGACACCGATTGCCCAGAGGATGCAAGCAACGGGAACGCAGATGATGACAGACTTGGGGATGGTCGTGCCGTCAAGGTAGGCCATGGGAGAGGTCTCCGGGGTGTGCGTCAGGGATCCCCAGTACCAGAGCATCAGGGAGTAGACCTGGGCAACACCCGCAACCGCGAGGGCACGCATGATCCATTGCTTCGTGGGAGCTCCACCTTCGTCACCGAAGTTGAGAGCGAAGGACAGAGCACCAGCGCTAGCGCCAGCAGCATAGAGAGCGGTGGCGGCGTCTTGCATAGCAGCGCTGGCTTGCCAAGGGGACAGTAGTGGCGAGACACCCAACAGGAGGAAGGCCAGGCCGAAGAAGAACCAGGGAAGGGAGAGGGCGTAAACGGACTTGGTCATACGGACCAGGAACCACCACAAGAAGGACGTGACGAGATAGGTGGCTGCAACAATGTACAGCTTGAGGGGCGTCTGGTTGGTGTCACCAGTAAGGAGGACGATTTGGTACGAGTTGATGGAGATGACTTGGGCGAAAGAGAGGAAGAAAGCGTAAACGGGCCAATCGCCGATGCGGATAGACAGGATCCTGCGGTTGTTAGTGTTGAGCTCGCAAACAAAGGTGTTGAGCACTTACTTCTTGAGACCAGTGGGTGCGTTGTAGTTGTCACCCAACAGGAACTCATCGTCAACGGGGCTGTCGTCGTAGCGAGTAGCGCCCGTGAGACCACTGGGGGTGCGGCTGCGGCCACGCTCGCCGTCCATCTTGGCACCGAGACCAGCGCTGGAGCCGGGGCGGCTGGGATTGGGGCTTCTTGAGCGGCTGTGGTCTCTGCGGCCAAGCTTGGCATCACGGTATCTGGCAAACCACTTCTTCTCACTCTTTTGGAGGTAGTTCTCAATGCAAAGGTCGTTGATAGAGTTCTTGGCGGTAAGACTGTTAAGCATTTGCTCGAACTCGTCGTAGAATTCTCCGTTCTTGTCCGTGAAGTTCTGGTCAACGTTCATCAACTTGAGATCGTGGCGGTCACCAACGACATCAGGCAAGGACAGCTGAGAGCTGTTGCGCTGCTGCTTGTAGAAGCTGGGTTGAGGGAGAGCCAAGTCGCCAAAGCCAGGAGTGACGGGAGAAGTAGCATCGTTCTGAGCGCGGATGGCAAAGCTGTCCACACTCATCATACTCTCGCGACCACCTCCGATAGAGCTCGAGAAAGAGCTGCGACGAGAAGACGGGATGCTGTGCCAAGGGAGGTTGGGAACAGGCAGACCAGGAGATTCGGAGATGCGAGGGCTGGCGACACGAGTAGGCGGGGGGAGAGGAGACGTGGCTCTGGAACCGGTAGGAGTCAACTCGGCACCATACTCGCTGACAGCAACACTGGAGCGGAGAGAAGAGTCGGTCAGGTTGCGAATGCCACCAGACTTCTTCTGCTTAGCAGCCTCCTTCTTGTGAACCTTGATAGAGTCGTTGTAGAGGGTATCTAGTTGTCTGATCCATTGGGCGACGGGGAAACGCTGCTTAGCACTCCAGGCACGCATGAGAGCTCTCTTTCTCGGCTTGCACTTCAGAGCGGATTCGATAGCCTGCTTGAACTGCTGAAGCATATGGGCAGGAGTCATGGACTCGACCGTGAACCAGAAACCGGGCATTTGACCAAGACCACCGACACGAGCACCGACACCCAGAGCTCCCTTACGACCGAACTCGACGGCAACGAGACCAAAGGGCTCGTCACGAGAGGGAATGAGGGCGAATTCGGCACCAGAGAAGATGTAGGGGGGCAGCTGAGTGAACTCGGGCTTGCTGAAAACACGCTTGGGGTACTTCTCCATAAGCTTAGCGAGCTTGAGAGCTGCGAACTTTCCGTAGAGATCGATGACGGGACCAATGCAGATAAGTTGGGTGGAAGGGTACTTCTCGAGAACGGTGGGGAAGATATCGGCGATCAAGTCGACACCCTTTTGCAGCGACCAACGACCGACGAAGACGAACAGATCAGCATTGGGGTTGACCTCAAGACCAGCCCATTCCTGGGCTTGTCTGCGAAGAGTAGCGCGGTTGGCCTCGAAAGTCTCGTCGATCTTGATGTCGTCCTGGTGGTTGGAGATGTCCTCCTCGGGGTTCCACTCGCCAGTGTCGGAAGGATCGGGGTTAGGCAGTTGACCAATGTTCTTCAAAGACCAGAAAATGGGGTAACGAGCCAGGGAACGATCACCATACTTCTTGGAGACACCAACGGCACCGAAACCGCGCTGGTGGATACGGAGGTAACTGGCAGCAGCGTGCAGCAAGTTGAAAGCGGAGCCGTACTGGACGTAGTCCTTGACGACCTTCGGGGGCAGGTTGAAGACGCTGTACACTTCCTTCTGTTCCTCCTCGGTTCTCATGGGCCACATACCCTGGAACTCGGCGTTGTGCAGAGACAGACAGACGGGAACGGTCTCAGGAAGGAGGTAAAGGGGAGCGGCGGCACCGTGGTAATCGTTGATGTGGTAGATGTCGACGTTGAAGCGGCGGATAGACTCGGCGATACAGCTGTTCCAGGCGCAGTACAGAATAGCACTCTCGAGATCGTCCATGCGGGCAATGTACGGGTCGGCCTTGGTCTGTTGGCGGAAGATAGGAGCATCGAGGATGACGTAGGTGATGTTCTTGTGGACGTGGTAGTAGACCTTAACCTCGTAGGATTCGCCCATGACTTCGACAAACATCGGCTCGGCCTCGTTCTCCAAGGGGTATTCGACGTCGCCAACGACGGGGACAACCCAGATCAGGTCGACGTGGGTCAGGGCTTGACTCATGAGCTTGGCCATGACACCAAGACCACCGATCTTAATGCTGATCTTCCAGTCGTCGATGTTGTACTCCATGGTGGCGATGAGGACCTTTCTGCGGGGGACACCGCCGGTGGCCGCACCGGCAGCTGGCGTGACGAGGGGAGATGGGGGAATCTGGGACATCTCGAGAGATTTGCCTTTTTCTCCGAAGTTAATGCTGGACTCATTCCCGAGCTTGAGTGGTAACCAACCCTTCTTGGAGAAGCCTGACTTGTTGATCTTGACTTGGTAGAATCCCTTCATGTAGATCCATCCGGCAAGAGCGGCCAGGACGATGGGCATAAGACCCAGGAGGAAGAAGAACATAATCTGGATCCACATGTTGCCCTGGGGCTCAGTAGAAATATTCCAGTTGGCGTCGTTCAGAACAAGCTTGTAAGACAGATAAGGCATGGGGGGAGGACTGGTCAAATTGACCACGTTGTCAGACAAGGAACTGGGGGGGAGACGATCAAGAACTCCATCACCGTTGGGGTCGCCGTAGATGAACGAGACATCAGGCTGGTTGTCGGGGTTGATACCCCAGAGGTTGAGCTGAACCTGGGCAGGCCACTCGTACATGAAGTGAAGCGACCACTCGTTGTCCGCAACTTGGTCCATAAGGTTGGGAAGACCGGCGTCGTATCCCCACTTGTTGAACGGTCCGTGGAGGAAGATGTGAGGCCATCGGCGAGCGTACGGGATGTCGCTGCTGTCGGAGTGCTGGGAGAAGGAAGACGATCCCAGAGGCTGACTCCAGTATTGGACAATCAAGTGCTTGCCCTCCCACTTCTGAAGGTCGGTTCCCTCCCAAGCCTGGTCAACCATGCGGGAGTTGGCACCAGTGTAAACTTGCCAGTTGCTCCAGCTGGAGCCCCAGTTGGTGCTGTAACGCCACTTGTTAGCACCGGCGGCCGAGTGGTTGATCGTGTAGACGCCGTTGCTCTCCTTCATCAGAGAACGAGAATAGTTCGCAGTAGAGGGGAAGACGATGGGGTTGTAGGGCTTGCCGAAGCGGACAAGGAAGTGGTCAGTGGCATTGGTTCCCTTGGTGCCAGCCGGGTGGTCGAGAGTGATCTTGATGATGCCGTCAGGGACGTTCTGGAGGTTGGCAGACCACTTGTAAACGGAGGGAATGGCGCCAGTCCAGGACTCCTTCTCAATGGGGTCCATCGCACCGCAGACAGGAGTATCGAAGGTGACGTTGGTCTTGGTGTTGCCGTCAACGTTGACGTAGGCGCTAATAGCATTGGTAATGTCGCTGCAGGTCACCTCGGTGGAAAACTTGATAGCAATGGGAACCACGCCATTGGCATTGGTGGAGTCGATCGGGTAGTCGTGGCCAGGCTCGAATCCAGTAACCACAGGCGCAATTTCCTTCCACTTGGCGGAGGGAACATAGGCGCGGAATTCGAAAGGAGTCATCGTAATGGAGCTCAAGCAACCAGCCTTCTTGGTAGTGCCTGTAAAAGTGTTCGTCTTGGACGAGCTCTCGAGGGTGATGGCATCATCGCTGCCGAACAAGTTGCGAACCTTGCTGCTGGCGTCGAAGGGAGCAATGAAGGCGTCGTCGGAGTTGCAGTCGAAAGTGTAGGTAGTCTCGTTGGGGCTGTTGTGGTAGACCAGCCAAACGGGGTCACTGGTCTTGCCAGACTGCGCACTGCTGAGGTAGTCGCGGGCTACACTCCAGATACCAGTCTCGGTGGCGGAGCCACTGCCGTTATGCAGAATGTACTGGGTCTGGTTCGCCAACTGCTCAACGAGCCAACCACCCTCCAGGACGGGGTACTCATCACGGAAAGAGAAGAGGCGCTTCATCCAGTTGCGCATGGGGTGGGAGGGATCGCGGTGGTCGTAGGCAACGGTATCGTCCTCACATCCCTTGCGACCCTTCGTGATGGGCCAATTGACGTAGACAGAGTTGTCGCCAGCATAGCAACCATGGTACTTCCAAGCTTGAGCAGCAGAGAACGCCTGTCGACCGAAAACGTAGTTGTTTGCAGTGTTATCCAGGACATAGAAAGCCTGCTCCTCGCCGTAGTAAACGAGAGGAGCACCGGGAAGAAGCAGAGTGGTGATGAAGTATGCGAGAAGCATGCGCTCAGTACCCAGCTCAATCGCAGGCCAACGGAAAACGTCCTGGTTCGTAACTCCGTACAGGTGGCGAGGGTCGAACTCTCCAGTGTTTGCGTTGTAGAAATCGTTTGTCAGAACCATTTGGTTCCAAGTCTGAACCCAGTCGGTGGGAAGATCGTAACCAGCCTCGAGATGACCACTCATACCAAGAAATCGAGTCATGAAACGGTAGATGGAGTAGTGGAAAGCACCACCATCGAGCGCGCTCTTACCGTGCTCACGAATGAAGACGCCGGAATTAGCGGAGTCGTTAGACTTCATGTTGGCGGCAGTGGCAAGGTCCAACGACGAAGCCATCTCGGGAGTTCGGCCACGACCAAGGTAGATGGAACCCAGAGTGTTACCACTGGTGATTTCACCAACAACCATGAAGTTATCCTTGCCGACGTCCTTGGCGCACTTCCGCATAGCGGTACTCCATTCAGCCTGAGCGTCGACGGTCACCTGGACAGCCTTGTCGATACGGAAACCGTCGATATCCAGCGTCTGAATGGTCATGCAAGAGTAGAGCTCGAGACGCTCACGCACCGACGGGACCCACTCACGAAGACGGTCCTGCACGGAGGCGAACTTTGCCAATTGACGCTGCCAATCCGGGAAAACACCGAAAGCCTCAATGTCACCATACTGGTCGAAATCACTGTCGTAGCAACCCTTGAGTTGAGCGGTGACGTTAGAGGCAACGAGGCTACCATCCTCGAACCAGAAAGCAGGGTAATCACAAGATTCGTTGTATGTGTTGCCAATGTCGAAATCGAGGTACCTGCGGGAAGACTTCCAGAGAACCTTGTGTTCCTCGGTCAGGAAGGGGGTGGACGCGTTGAGATAACCCTCAAAACCAATGAGATCGCCCATGCTGTATCAATGTAAGTAACGACAATGCCGCTACGAGCGGGGGTTCACTCACGTCGCCATTGTCTGGTCCATGACCACATACATCCCCCTCGCATGGATCTCGTCGATGGCTCTCTGCCATGCCGTGATGTTACCGAAGTGCTTGTCCAAAAGGGTGAGATCGAGAGGCTAAAGTAACGATTAGCTGCCGCGTTCGGTCGCTGTGTCGCGTGTATCATACCGAGTATGAATCCGCCTTCCATGGGTCGTTGATGAATGGGGAGCCAGCAATGTAGATACCCTTCACTCCAATGCCCTGAATGTAGTCCAACGTGTCGATCAGACCCTCCACGTCTCCTCCATGACGGAGCTGGTTGCTCATGATATCATGTTCGAATAGCGTGCCGTTGGCATTGTCGTTGTCGGGGTCGCCATTGACGAAACGATCGATGAATAACGTATAGAATGGGAAACGCCAATTTGTTGGTGATTCTTGGAAGGTGTGGTTGTCCCTCTTTCCCGAGTATTGGTGTGGATTTGTTGCTTCTCTGTTGGTGTTGAGGTTGTAATCGACTTCGCTGGCGGTGTACTTGAGTCCGGAAACGAGTGTTGTTGATGCAGTAAGGAGTGTAAGTGCCCAAACCTTTAATGAATTAGACATTGTTACTCGAACTCGCCGCTGGGCGAGTGAGTCAAGGCGTACAAAAAAATAGACAGGAATGAGTGACGAATTGAAGAAAGGAAGGAATGTGGTGATGTTTGGGAGGGAGGGAGTGTGAAAGGCCGCAGAGCAGACCAGCAAGCAGCAGAACGAATGACGAGTTAGACACGAGACTAGGCCGTGGCACTGGGACGGATGGGAAGAAAACTCGGCCGTCAACACCACGTTGGAACAGATGGGAGAAAAAAAAGGGGGTAATCTCAAGGGAACCCAGGTCAGCCCAATGCCCCAGGCTGAAGTGCGGAAAGGGGGATCAGGGAGTGGCTGGGGCCGCAGAAGCGTCAAGTGTCCATGAAGGATCTATCCATCCGCCTCGCCTCCCAAGGCTCCAGTCTCCAGTCTCGTCGTCTGGGCGGGCAAGTCGCGGCGCGGTACAGAGTGCGGTGACCACCCTTCGAGGGCCGCAGGGCGTCGATTTCGTGATGAGAGATGGGGCCCCTTCTGCAGGAACGGACCAGCCGAATCGCTAGCCCTTCCTCCTCTCGCCTCTCAAGCTGTGAGAGGTTCCCGCCAATGGCCAAGTTCTCTTAGAGGTCCCCTCCATCTTGGATGATGGGCGACCCAACCAACCCCTCTCTTGGTACCAATAGACAGTGCTACAGCGGCGTGTTGACAGGGCCCTCTCTGCGTCCTGTTCGAGAGTCCGCCTGTGAGAGGACAGGCTCGGAAGCAGAAAGAGCAGGTACAGGAGGTACAGAAGGTACATGATAATGTGGCTCCGGGGGTGGCCTGGGGCTAATTCTGGCTATACGAAGTTTGGAATATGGATATGCATCAGCGGCAGGCTCTTGCCTGTCTGGCGGCGAACCATGAGGGCGATGGGAGATTGACAGGCTCCGTGTTGAATTACCATTTTGGACGAGCCCACAATAGAGAGTGGCCAATACGGTGGCCCCGAGGTCAGCGGAAGCAGGGGTAAGGGCTGGGGTGCCAGGATAGGCCGGCACGGGCTCTCGGTTCTTGTTGGTTGATTCGGGCGAGCTCCGTCGTCGGTCGAGGTATCCGCTGTCAGTCGGGCCCCCGGTCGCGTGGGTGGATGGAGGACGTGCTTGCCTGTATCGAGTCAGTTTTAGTTTTGGCTGGTTCCCCTCTCTGAGGCCCAAGAATACGAGACGTTGGAGACGAGCCAGGCTGTCAGGACGGATCATCCATGCGCGACAAGATTATTCGGAGCCGTTGATTTCCCAGTCGGGAATAACTGAGGCTCAAGGGCCCATCAACAAAGAGCACGGTGGAAATTTGACACTGACAGACGCCAGCAGACGCCGGGCGCGCGGCCTCTCTCGCGGTGTGGCTTTCTGGCGTGGCATGGGCGGTCAGTCGAACTGGATGGGTGATGGGTTCATCTCAAGTGGCATAAACGTTTATGCTTGGGGGCGGCGGACAGGCGTCGACGGTGCTCGGCAGCACTGTGATGGTGTGTGGTGCGTGTGTTGGGATTGGAAACAGTCGCGCCGCGCCGTCCAGTGAGGTCTGTCTGCGATGAACGGTGGACTGAGCCAAGCCAGAAACAAGATGGTACGCCCGTTGGATCATGATTGTGACGTCGGGTCGCGTTGGCGGCGCAAGGCTAAGATAGCGTGCTGCTGGGCTGCCATGGTTTTGTCTCTGGCGTTGATCTTGGTGCATGCAGTGTGCAATGTGTGCCTGGCAGCAGAAGGATGCCAGAAGGATGGGATGCGCAGGGCGGCAGAAGGGGAAAAAGCAAGCCGGGCCGAGCACTAGCAGAGGTGCGTGGGTGACGGAGGTACTTTCGTTAGGACGGAGCGCGAGGCAGACGAGACATGGCGAGAGAGGCGGGTGTGGGATGGCGGCTGGCAGACGTGCGTGTGGACGGTTCACAGTTTGGCGGCGATTGAGTGTCAAGCCACACGTGGTGGGCGGTGGTGGATCGCTATCGGTGATCTCTTAGCCAATCCTTTTCCGCGGAGGGCAGCATCAGCCACAGATCGCGGTGGTGACCACCGTTTTCTAAATCATCCTGCAGGACCTAAGGTTGGTCCTTCCTCGCGCGTGCCTCGCTGCAGCCACAGATGCCGGGATGGCGTCCCAAGACGTTCCATTGCGATCCACAACACCCCCATCAGCCCCACTTAGGCACGAGGAAGTATCCTATAATGGGACGAGAACTGCCAGGCACCCCCGACACCGCCGACCGGGGTTCGTGGCTGCTGCAGCTGCACCTGTCGACGGGGACCAGGGCGGTAGCAGTTTCTGGGTGCGACAAGGGGGCGCTTTTTGCTCCCCAGCGTGTCCAGCGTCCACCAGGTGCCCTGTGTGCGCAGTGATTGGCGGTGCAGACCAGGAGCGCGGACAAAGTGGCGGGCGAGTCAGGGACTCTGGAGAGCCCTTCAGGGCTTGAAAGTCTTGGAGCGGGTAATTATGGCCACAGGCCCTGGGCTGGCGGTGCTGGATTCTCTTCTGGGCGCGCTGAAACAGAGCAAATTGGGGTGCAGAAGCAGAAGAAATCATTCAGAAGCTCGCCTAAACCAGATGCCTGGCCGAGCTGAAGTCCAGACGCCCTCCTTTTTCTGGTGGCGTGCCCTGTCCGTCAAAGGAGCCCTGGTCATGTCTGATTGCCCGGGCTCGCCCTGCGGCGGCGGCGCGGCCTGTTGCCGTAGGTCAGTTTCTCTTGGGATCAGTCAGACCGCTTAGGTACGCTGCGGCATGGCATGGCGGGCTGAGGCGGAGGGCTGAGGCGTCTGGGAGCTCCCATGTTTTTGAGGTTTTCAGGAGGTCTCCCAGGTCCCATTGATCGTGAAGAAGCCCCGTCCAGGAGGTCGCAGAGCTGAGCATTTCCGCCGCCCGCGCGTCGGAGAGGGATGCCCCGAGGCATTTTATAGAGTTTGAAGAGCTTGCTGAGGTGCCATTGAGTTTGGGCGAGGTCGAAGAGAAGGGGAAGGGACGGCTGGGAGGGGAGCGGACGTCTCGCAGAATTCGGGATGCTTACCTAAGAGTGGTAGAGAGTGGGAGGAGTCCCAAAAATTAAGGTACCTCAAGATACTTTGTACCTGCCATTCTGCCATTATCCGTACCTTACCTCCACGTCTCTCACCGACATGCCCCAGCACACCCTCATTACTGAGCTGCTGCAACCCCGTCTATTGAACGGTGACCAACCACATGTGTGGTTCCCTTTGATTTGCTTATCGCTCATCGACAGGTGCAGCGCCCGTCGCGTCGTCGTCGACCATATCGCAGTACAGTACATACGTACGGCTCGTCGTCACGTACGGATGCTCTCTGCGCGTACTCTAAAATAAGGCCGTAATAGAGGCCGTCAGAGTTTTGCGAGATCGAACGGCAGCTACCTGTGGCTGCTGGCACTGCTGGCTGCCAACCAGGAACATGGCCGTCGACCGTCCCGTCAAGCTTCTCCTCCCAAGAGGCCCAAGAAAACAACAAGAAGCTTCCCGTCATCAAGCTTATCCGTACACGCCACGCCAAACCGCCAATGTCAACAACAAGTAATTGTCATGCTGCAGGAACAAGCGCACCAAGCTACCAAGGAAGCTACCAAGGCCGCACCAAGAAAAGCACTTGGTTAGCACGAGTAGTGAGAGCAAAACGTTCTCGTAACAAAAAGCCCGCCAAGTCGCGGCGCCAACGCCAACATCAACAGCACCAGCGCGCACTATCGGCGGTCCCTCAAGCTCCCAGAGCCACTGCCGAAATCCAACTCCCACGATCGTGGTGCCACCACGCCCAATCGGGAAAGGCCCCTCCATCTCTGCGCACAAAGTTCCAAGGTCCTTCCAAGGCCGCACCGTTGGCGGCGCCGGCGGGCCTCTTGGCAGGGGAAAGCCGCCTTTTCGCTCATTTTCAAGCAGGCTCGTCCATGCACCTGCTGCCATTGTGCATTGGCATTTACAGTGCAGAGTGCTATGTAAGGCACAGACTGCATGTAGTCCAATGACAGCACGCAGACGCCTCAGTTGCAATTTGTTCCTCCTGCTGCGCCGCGGACGACATGTCCTTTTTTTCTCACACCACACCACCACTGGCCACCGGCATCAACTTCGATGTGGCCGCGGAAGTGCTGCTGACCACCATCAAAAATCTCTTTCCATCGCAATGCACAAATCAGCACCTTAACTGAGCCTCTGCTTGGCGCCACGACTGTCTCTCCTTTTGACAGTGTCTTGTCGGTTTGTCTCGAGTGAGAAAAAAGACGATGGAGTGCGGACTTCCACCCCATCTTCTAGTGCTTCCACGCATTCCTCACCCACCACTACCACCACCACCACCACCTCCCCCCGGCTTGGCTTCCGCGCGCAGTATCGCATTCCCCAGTCCTTTCTTATATATCTCGCTTGGGTTCAATTTCCCCTCGACCACTTGTTGGTCATGGGAATCGACCATTTTAGCCCCCCAGAGTGGGCCTCTGCCATCCTACTGCCAATCATCCCATCCGATCCGAGGCATCGACATTGACAGACACAGACACCCTCCTCCGCCTCGTGCTCCCATTCCACCGTACCTTTGTCTCTCTGCAGAAGTACTGCGTAGTGCGTATCCGTACTGCCTGGTATTAGTCGCTGCCACCATCACCTCTCTATTTCCCTAGTGCCGCTGTACCTGCAGCAGTCAGGAACCGTGATCTCATCGACTGCCCAACTCGCACGAATCACCATCCATGATCCCGTCACTCACATCCCATCTCTTCGGTCTGTTGTGCCGTGCCGTCTGTTCCCCTCTCCGCGCAGTCCACGGCAGTGTCACCCGCGGATCTCGCATTTCTTTATTGGCTCTCTCGTTGGGTTCCCCATAGTCCGTATCTAGTGGCCAAGGTAGTTTCATTCTGCCCTCCTCGTGTTTGCTGTCAATCACTGTGTATGGACTGCCAATGTCCAATGTCCTGCTTGACGCGCTTCGCCCCCCTCTGCCAACCCGGCTCCACGCCTTACAACCAGAACCAGTCACTCGTTTAATCAACCCAG